AATGCCACACTAGCCTTTTGTATCCGTTCTGAGATTTTGTCAGCAATCGGTCTATTAAAGTTGATGGAACTTCCTAAATAAGTGAATTGGTCAATGCGATCTACGACTACACTCCCTATCTTTAATCTAGGAGTCGGTGTAATCCAGTCCTGCAGCATCATCTTACATTTTTCATGAGCGAATCGCATGGCAAATATTTGAAGAATTCTACTGTAGGTATTCAGAAGACTCTGAACTTTTTCAGCGTCTTCACCTAAGAGTACAATATCACCCGCGTATTTTAAGTTGGCGACACTGTTCTTTGGTAACAAAGTCAATCACTAAGTCACAAAAGTCAGAGTCAATTTCATTAGTACATCTGTGATGAAATTAAACAAAAATAGGGACAGTGGGCATCCTTGATGGACACCATTGATTTTCTATACTTCAGATAATAACTCTCCTTAAGCTCTTACACGGACGTGTTAAAGAAGAGTGCCTTGATTAGTGCGATATACTTTCTCGACACTCCTTAGGGCCAAACGTCGCCACAGCACCTCTTGGTCAACGGAATTGAATACCGCCTTCAATCAAGAAATGTGGCAAGTTTTGGACGTCGGTAAGTATGCCTATGTTTCAAAATCTGTCGAAAGGTTAAGATATAAACAATACACCCTCTTCCTCCCCTGAAGGCTGTCTAGTCTTCCCGATTTTGTTTCTCCTGGCCACCACTTAGTCTACTGATGATTATTGAACCTAGAACTTTAAATGCTACGTTAGCTAAGCTTATCCTCCTATGACTCACAGGAAGACTTGCCTCCCTTCTTATAAACTGGGATAATCAATTATTTATACCATTCTAACGAACTATATCTAATTCTCAGACGTTACGTAATGCCTCCGTTAACCCAGATAACAGTTTGTCACCACCGTGATTAAACATCACTGGAGTCATTCCATCAGGTCTTGCTGCCTTGTCTCGTTTTAGATAAGAGACAGCTTCTGCAACTCCAGCTACATTTGGATGATCGATGTCGACATCCGACTTAGGTAACTGTTGGATACTGAGCAAGTTGAATGCGGCTGTAAGCCAGTTAAACTGCTCCTAAAAGTATTCTCTCTAACATTCCATCCTTCTGTCCTAAGAGCTGATCGAGGTGCTGCTTTTCTTTTACAACCTGTTTCCCTAATAGGCCGAAATAGTTGCCTGGTGTAACTTACCGCTGGTACCTTTTCCATCTTCGCTTTTGAACAAAGCAATAAGAACATACTGTATTCATATTGCTTTGTTGAAGTTTATTAAGGAAAGTAATTGTACGAAGTTTCTTTGTCATTGTCTCTCTGTGAGACCTGGCCATTGAAAGTGGAAGACATGAAAAGACTAGCTGTCTTTGATCATAGGTGCCTGCGTTCTATCTCCCGTGTGAAGTGGTATAATAGGGTGAGCAATATTGAGGTAAGACATCAGTCGAGTGCTAGGTAAGGAGGGGAAATCAATCGACGAGGCTGTGAAGCTACATCTACTGAGATGGTTAGGACATGTGTTACGTATGCCTAGTCATCGCCTTCCCCGACGGGCAATGTTAACTGACATAGAGTCAGGTTGAAAAAGAGCTAGCGGCGGTCAGACCAAAACATGGCACCAGTCAATGAAATCCACTACAGTTAGTGTAACCCGCATAGGAAGGTGTAGACTTCTTGGTTGGGATCCTTGGTACGGTAAAAACCAATGGCTGGAGACAATTGGTGATATGGCTCAAAATCGTTCTCAATGACAGAGCAGATGCATCCACTCCTTGTGATTTCCAATGAAACTATATTGTTCTTCGTTATTACTATTCCGTTTGTCTCATATCCTTGTCTACTGTCTCTAGTTTGCATTTCTTCTCTTGCTTTGTGTGCTACATGGAGTGTGGCGACTTGAACTTCTGCACATCGGTGCAAAGTTCTATGTTAAAAACAGACAGAGACAGACCACAATTCGCGGTTGTTGCGGAGACTTTTGGTCAGTTTGTATGTGAGTAGCTCTCGCTCTTCATCAGTCTTCTTGTCTCTACCACTACTGACGAAGTAACAGAAATCCACTGTCATCTAATTACCTTTGGTTCTAGGTTGTCAGTTCTTTCCTAACGCGTACATACAAAATAGTGAAATTCGGTGGTGTAAAGTTGTGGTATTTCGTTGAGTGATTTAAAGCTTACATCATTTGATAAAACAGTTTTAAGAGCAGTTGGTTTTTCAAAGACATTTTAGTCACAAGTAATGTTGGTCATTTTTTCGTCTACTGACAAATATCAACATTTTCTAAACTATCCTTACCAACTAGCATTCCTCTAGTCAAGTTAAGATTGTACTGCGTTATAGACTAATAGCAGATAAGATCGCAGATCTCATTAGAAAAATAATCTCGGTTAGACAGTATATGACCATAGCGCTGTAAATGACGCGGCGTCGTCTGGGTGCTAGCTTTGGGTCTTAGTAGAGGTATCAGTACTGCACATCCAGCTGATGAACACTGGATAGGATGAAACTTGTGTTCTTGCTATCCACTACTAAATACAACTGGGTTCTTTTCTACTTTACATATACTTATCTTCGTGTCCTCTGAGACACTTTACTATTAATTATACTTTTTCTCCCATAGTTTCTATGGTGCAATGCTTCCACTGTGTTATGATTTTTATGAGCAGAAATTTTATCTGTATATCAGTGATTCTTCAGTAAACCTAATTTCTACTTTCGGAAGTTAATATTTCTTTCGTCTCATTGGTTTCTTAAGCAAACAAAAGGGTGAACATTTTTTTGTCCATCTTATGATCCTAGTTTGCAGTCTCTACACACCCCTTACTCACTTTATTTATTTTCCAATTACATCTCATTTCTCTTTCCACTCATTGCGGTTGCCGATCTTGATATCCACCAATCATAAGCTGAGTATAAATCTTGTTAAAAATTATTCATTATCTTATTGGTTGTGAAACTATCTTCATTTATGATCGAAATTGAACTTTCCTGCCCCTTTCCCTCTTGATAATCTATAAAATGTTTTTAGATCTCTGTGTTTCATGTTGTAAACAACTCATCTGAATTATCGACATCATTCATATTTGGATTATTATCTGAATTGCTTAGTTGGACTATTCTTATTGGTTAAATGTTCCTGAAAAATTTCTTCTCTGCTACGCTTAAATATTGATCTGTTTGCATATTGTTATATAGCAACACGTGTCACCTAGACAACGCCTAACATAGACTAAACTAGTCATCCACTTAGGGTAAAATTATTCACTTTATCGGTTATTTTTGTGAAGTAACAAAATCGTAACTCAAAAAAATAAAATAATAATAAACTTTCCTCATGGATGTGGATTATCCAGAAACATCATTTACGGTAAGAAAATTTAATCACAATGTTTGTAAACTTTGTCCAAATAGTTTTTATTCTCGATTTCGTTTTGTCATAAAATTCAATTCCCCATGTGTGTTTAACTGAACCATACTACTTTTATCTTGCTTATGTTGTTATAAAATTTTGGTGCGTGTAAGATATTTCTCCACTCAAAGATAAGAATTGATTTAGAAGTTTTCTTTTCTGCGCTTGTTGTAACTGGCTGTTTATTGTGCCTCAGATAACTGGAAATTTTTGTTTTTGCTTAGTAGGATTAATAGTGTTTTAATATGCAGTGTTGCTTTTCTGATAAATCAACTTGTTTGAATTATTCATATTCATAAGCATATGGCTAAGATGAGACATTTTAAGGTTTTTGTGCAATGCAAATACATTACTTGTACCACTGTACATCACTACTGAATCATCTTCAAGAAGATATTTTGAAAGTAATCAATAGAATTACTATCAAAAGATTGAGTTTAAATGACAAACACTTTACTTATTTGGATAAGCAAAATATCAAAAGGGGAAATGACTAAATATTTATGTAGTTTGTTCATCCGTGACTACTTCCTCACAGTAGCAATTGCATGTGTTCACTCTTTCAATTATATTTTCGTTACTGTCTTTGAAGTACCTCTGTTCTAGTCTATTGTTGGGGAAGAGTAACCACTTATCTTAATGATAAATAACGTATCTTAGCAATGAAAAATAATCTAATGATGTACGTAATAGTAATAATAATAATAATAATAATAGCAGCTTTCCTCTAAACAGTATGTTAACACAGTAGAGAATTTTCAGTGTACAAAGTAAAATGGTATTCGGCATTACATCATGTGACTCCATGTTGTCCCATCCGAAGTAATATCCAACTCTCCACGATATTTTCTCTTTTGTGAAGTGCTTTGCATGACAGCAAACTAAAAAAAATTGTGTGCAAGTTCATGTAGTGATCCAAAAACATGGCTTTTTTCAACCAAAAAAATAGAGAAGAGTTTAAGCATTAGACGGGATAGAAATTTAGGTAACTCAGTGATTTATTTAAACAGGCTGCCAGTGAATGTGTTTCATTTTTATAATCTATGGATGAATGGCACCTCCTGTTTATATATATCTGTAAGCTATACTTTAGTGGTGCTCTATACGACCCAGTTTTCTCAAACCAGCGTTTTGTTATTTGTTCTGTTATTTACTGAGGAATGGAGGCTTTAAAAGATTCAATTTTAATCATAATATTACTTTGACTGCTTTTTATGCCTTTAAATATAAACACTGAAGTGTGTGTTCAATGAATGAAATGACCCAATTTCTAGACTAAATATTAACTTTAAATGCATGGTCAACTAACTCACCTACCATAAGAAAAATACTTTCTTAAGCAATAATTATTGTGTAAACAAATAGTTTAGGTAGATAGGACATTTTGTCATCATTGGAATTATGTTAGATTTCATTCTTTTTTTGTTGTTATTGAAAGACGATATTTACTCGAAGACACCAACCAGCTCAGAGAACACTATTAATTCCAAATCATCCACCTGAGCTACAAATCTTCTCTCTTACTTATTATTCTTATTATTATATCCGAAAAACAACTACTCATGTCTTTATTATATTTATTTTTCAGGACTTTCAAGTTTTTGAACTACTTGGTCGAGGTGGATTTGCTCAAGTCTATCGGGCTAAATCCACCATTACTGGACAAGAGGTTGCCATCAAAATGGTATGTCACACTGTCTCATAGTTGTTTCTTTCAACCACATAAATTATTATCGTTTATTCGCATGTGGTCTTTCAAGTATACTTATATTCTCTTCGGGATAAAACTACGACAAGTTTGATTTTCTTTCTTAAATACGACTGAGAAATATTTTAATAATAGAGATAAATGCTCTCAGCTTCATCACTTGATTTATACAAAAAGTAGATATGTAATTTCTTTTTGAAGTTACACCCTGAAAAAAATTTGGGTAAACTAGTGAATTTCTTACACTAGCTTTGATATGTCTTATTTTAGCAAAACCGAATAGGTATTTACCATTGTTATAAAGTAGATAAAGTTTAATATATAAGAATAGATTCTACGGCTGACCTCTTTTTAAGTAACAATTTACCAATTCAGTAATGTGAACAGAAATCCCCTATGTGAATTTGAACTGAAATCGTTATGGATAGTGATATTCAGTAGATTAGGCTTTTTATTGATTTCTTCATGTGTTATAACTATCTTCAGCAACATACATATTTTATGAAGATTCATCATACTCTGAACAGATTACTTTGAAATAGAATTATTAGGAAGTTGAATATCATATGAAAATACTAAGTCTGAAATTGGTCATCTGTAAGCACTATATTATTTCAAACTATTGATATGTGTACCTAGTCAGTAGGGCAATAATGTTCAGTAGTAGTAGTAGTATTAACGTAGTATATACTTCTACACTATGCTTATTGCTTTCTTCTGCCCTTGTTTTAGATCGATAAGAAGGGTATGATTCATCATGGACTAGCCAACCGTGTACGTCGTGAAGTGGAAATTCACAGCCGTCTGAAGCATCCATCAATTTTAGAGGTAAGATTTTATTATGACTTTGATTATTTTCGTGGAATTATTTTACATAGTAGTGACAAAGATAAGCTACTAACTGGACTCTGCATGGCCTATCATAATTCTTACAATGATTTTTTTATACAAATATTTTGTATGCCATAGAAACAAGGTTCCACGCATATTTTTCTGATAAGTGTGTTGACAAGCAGAAAGTATATGCCTAGGGCATCATGTCAACTGACTGCTAATAATACCTAAATACTATACACCACAGTGTTATGTCTCTTAATTTAGTAGTCACATTGTTAACTTTGTAGGCTAACTTCTGTGTGCAATGCAGACACCTAACAACTACATCGTTCATTATCCAGTGTCTAATTCATGCTTAGGTTATGCATATTTGTAAGGCAATGAAATACAATAGAGATGTTAGAATTTCTCAAGTTCACCATGAGAATTAATGTAGGGATTCGCCTTCTTCTCTTTTTGATATAACTCCTCTCCCTTAAATATATGATATGCAACATTTTCATTCTTTTTTTTAAAAACTTCATTTTACAGTTATATACCTGTTTTGAGGATGCTAACTACGTTTATTTAGTTTTGGAAATTTGTCACAATGGGGAATTACAAACTTATGTACGTCAAAATGGACCTGTTACCGAAGATACTGGTAAGTTAGATTTGTCGTTATTTATTGTATATTTTTTCTACTGGTCCCTGTCATCTGAGTGGTATTAAACACTGATATTAAAAAACGATGGATGGATCCTTCTCTGAATTATGGCGAACTTGGTGGTGATATTGCTTTTTTAGCTGATGGTTTTCTTGTGATTTTTTGAATAAAACGCGTTTCACTGTGTTACATTTTCTAATAAATAGCAATATCATCTTTATTCTGGAGAGAATTTATAAAATGTACAGAATTTACAGAGGAGTTTATTGCATGATATTTCCCCTTCGTACTATATCTTCATGTAAAATATTAATTGACAGTATATCCTGTGACACAATGGTCTCTGAGCTGAAGCACAAACCATTCCATTATGATATATATATCTGCTTTGTCTCCTTCAAGAAATCCACGATATCTAGTTGAATGCCAATTGTAAGATATTCAGAAGTACATTTTGAGACCTAAGGACATAACTGAAGAACAGTTATCTCATATATTGGAACATGTTGCCACCCACAATCAGGCCATTCCTCAAGTTTAGTAGGAACTTGCGAGTCAGAAGCTTGTAAACATTTTAAATACACACAAAAATAGATGATACCATTAGAGGTTATATCTCAACCGATTATAACAAACCGAACGAGAGAACATATATGCAATAGAGAGATGGAAGTTTTCGCTAGTCCAAGTTTTAAGCAGACTGCAGAGTCTCTAAGATTGTTTTGAATTCTGTTTACTTAAGTTTTTCAACTTGTTGCCTTTTTTGCAGAGAAAATTATCTTGCTGTTTCCTGCACTATAAAGTGAACGAATGCATAAATAGTTGCTGCTGTTACCCCGACTAAGCTTCACATAATTTATTCTTCCGTTATAATATTATCCTCTTTTTTTCCTTCTCCTCCTTTTTGTTCTATTTTGAATTGTGCGGACTTGAACTGACCAACTTCTGTACAAAGTTCAATGACAATGTATTAGTCAGTTAACGTAACCACCACTACCGCCACCACATAATTTCTGCATTAGGTTGTTTACATTGTATTTTAACTATAGTATTTTGTTAGGTAAATTTCTCTGATATTTGATCGTACATTCATTCACCTTTCCTGTTTCTTCTTATATAGCTCGACATTATCTAAAACAGTTGATCAGTGGTCTTGTCTATTTGCATTCACACAATATACTTCACAGAGACCTGACTCTAGCAAATCTACTACTTACTAAGGATATGAAAGTTGTAAGTTATATTTCACTCTTATCTATTGAATCTTGTAAATATTGATATACGTGTTCATGTTTTTAATGGCTGTAGAGCAGATATGTCACGAGTATATAAGACGACTACCAATTGACGAATTTCATTTTGCATTTTCACCATATGTTTACGTATTACATCGCATTAAATATAGCCTTGGTAGATTTGTTCAAATCGTCTTCTCGATGTCAACAAAGTTATATGTAATTCTGACCAGTGCATTTCACGATATTCTAAGGATTGTTATTGCTTTCCCACCACCTTTAAACCACCCTTATCCAACAACTAGTCTGGCGCTGTCAAAGATTATTGTAATGGTTCAGAAAATTGAAATAGCCTAGTGATTGACTTGTAACGAATAATAATTGTGAATATTCAGCGCATAAAGTATTTACACTTAAACCTACAAAGTTTATGGAACATTCTAGGACTCTAGTCTATACAGTTACTTCATCTGATTAGTTCTTCTCAGTCATTATCTTACGTTTCCTCATTTTTTTAAAATTTAAGAGTGTGTTCCTGTCAAAGGGATTAAAGCACATAAATGTTTTAAGAATCTATTTAAATCATCGTTATTAATAGAAATATTTAGAATTAAAAAATGTGCCGTTAGGCTCGGTAGCTTTGTGGCTAAAACTTTAATGTTTTAAACAATGGCTGCTGGATTCCACTCTCAGTGTGGGAACATCAACACTCACTAGGATACAAGTACATCCAGTTGTGACGAGTCACGAATAGGCTGAAATGCACTCCTTGTATTCTACTGCTAACCATCACTAACAGCATGAATATGTAGTTACTTCTAAGTGAATGAGACCCGTGGCAGACGGTAGCTCCGTATTGATTGAATTAATCTCTACGTTTTTGACTGAGGCCCTTCACTTCATATTAATCGGAAGCATACGAAAGTAGTAAAGTTCAGTTCAGTTACTTAGAAGTGTATAATGTTTAATTTACATTTAAATATTATTTCAAAATAGATGTACACGTTTTTAAGTAGTTACTTTTTATTTCTTGTTTCTCTGTTGATCTTCGAAACAAGTAGAAATAATTACAGCATAGAATTTACCCGTCTAATTCTTCTTGTTTTGTTTTTTCCCATCTTTATTGAAATAGAAAATAGCAGACTTTGGATTAGCTACTAAAATTGAACCAGGTGAAGATCATAAAACGATGTGTGGAACACCAAATTATATCTCCCCGTAAGTAAATTAATTTTCACAGTACTCAGTTAACATGAATGATATATGTGTAACTTTTTAGTGAAATTTTTATTAAATGGTATCTGTAAAGGTTTACAGTGTTATGACGATACACAGACTAACGTGAAACAGGATTCTTCTTTACTCTTATTCATGTGTACATTTTTTATTTCACTTTCTAAAGGGAAGTTGCCAGTCATAATCAACAAGGTTTAGAAACTGATGTCTGGTCGTTAGGCTGTATGTTTTATACATTAATTGTTGGTCGTCCACCATTCGATACACGAGAAGTTCGTTCTACTCTAAATCGTGTCCTGGCAGTCGATTATGAATTACCGTCAACAGTTTCCACTGAAGCAGCTGATTTAATTAATTCTTTGCTTAGACGTGAACCTCAAGAACGTATTAAACTGAAAGCAATTATGCAGCATCCATTTATGACTAAAAAATCACGTCCACAACGCTATATGGTAAGAAATTTGTGTATATGGATAAATTTAGTTTTATTTTACTTCTATTTTCGTATATGAACTTTATTTCCAAAATGAAAGTATTCAAGTATTGGTTTCGCTGGGGTTTTGTTTGACTGGTTGGAGGATTTCATCATGAGCTGACATTGGTTAGAGAACCATTGGAAAACCTGGGAGTACTGGACAGCTGTTTCGTCCTAGTTGGGGACTTTTCATCAGTGCGCACCCACCGGGGTTTGAACCCAGGACCTTCTAGTATAGTATCCAGTTGTATTAAATTTCCTTCGTTAAACAATAATAATTGTTATCAAAAACATAGGCTCAGTGTTCAGTGTAAAAATAATCCTTCACCTGATGGGATGATTTAAGGGCGAAGCTAAAACCTCTCTCATTGCAGAGCTGGAATCAGGAGCTTCTGCATTAGGATAGTTATTTTCCTCATCGACACAGATGGTACACACTAGTTATATGTACTTAGATATATTTATAATTTGTTAGACGTCAAGTCGGCCACCTCCTTCTAAAATCTATTCATTTCTGACTCTTAGCAGTTTTGCTTCATAGAATATCTGTAGCCTCTTTCTAAAGCTAAAAATAACGCTTTATTTCAATTGGAAATTCTCAAGCTTTAGACTAGATGATGTTATCACTTGATTATTAAGCATATTTTGGGGCTATGGGTTTTAAAACTACCCCAACTACCGTAATACTGAATTTGAAATTTTCGTACAACAAATGCCCTTCACATTTAACTAGCAGTTTTTTATCTATTAATATTTTTCACGTATTTGTTCCGTTAAGCTTGTAAATATTCATTTTCCAAATGACTTAGTGACTCGTATATGTTACTGCCGCTTTGTATCATGATCATATCATATGTAATAATTTCATATCTTGTCTTAATAATGTCTACTAAATACTTAATTCTTTGGTGCGAACTTATAGTTTGATTACTTTTGAACGTCCTGTCATTCGGTTAACATTATAATAAGGTTAAACTCTAGCCACAATTACACTTCTTGGTGCTCGACACATCAAATCTTAACTTTTACTGTTTATCACTGTTTTTATAATCAATTTTTCAATTATTTTTGTCTCTTCAGGAAACTTCGAATGATAGTGGGATTGATTCTATTTCTCGAACTCCTTTGGGATGTTTAACTAATAGTCTAAAGTGCCACCAACCTCAAAAAGTAGAATCCAACAGATTTATTGTTCGTCCTTGTATCACACCCCTTTCTACAGCTATTTCTGATACCCAGTGTAATACACGTACACCTTACTGTCGAGATCCTTCTCAGCGCTTACCACCTCCAAGTGGCAGTTGTGATGTTGTAATTAATCCCTATCCAAATACACAACGATCTGTAGAACCACTCAGTACTCGTTCAAATACACAACAAACACATTATTCAGATGGTGTTTTTGAACAATCTCGGTTAATTATCTCGCCTGTATCAGATCCAGATAATAACAGAGCACTATTAAATCATCATGGTCAATTTGTCACTTCAACAGTTAATAGGGGTTATACAAATTTATCCAGTGTTTCATTTTCTTCACTTTCACGTCCAACTGCAACAGAAACTGTCACAACTCAACGTCCTAATTATGCAAAGCCTATTACTAGTACATCAAAATCTGGAGTACCTTGTGAAAATTCTGGTAAACAAATATCTGGTCATCCTTTACCACTTGATAGTCGTCGCTTAAAACCTATGCGAACGTATACGCGTCTAGCTGTAATCAATATTCTGCAAGATGAATCTGTTTGTCTGGAATTTTTTGGAGGCTCGTCTAAAACTCGACAGAATCTAACTCCAACAATAATGAATAACCAGAATTTTCGAGTTGTTGAAGTCATAGGTATCAATAGTACTGGACAAAACATTTTAATCTATCAACCAAATATGGGAAAGGGAGTACCGTTGAATGTTAAAGGGCTGAATGATGCTTCAGAGACAGATTTAGCTACGGATATTGGTGGTCCTCCACCTGCATGTCCAGGTGATCCGATTGCAGTATATACTTTGGATACATTACCTCAGAGATACTGGAAGAAGTATCAGTTTATTTCTAAGTGAGTTCAATTCTCATGATACTTTTACCACAGTGTAATTTGTACATGTGAAATGCCAATCAGTCGGAATCAAGTTGTTTAAATGTGCTTTTAGTTAACAACAATTGTTATTCCCTATTACTAACTAAAAGTAATGTAATTTGTGTTTTTTTGGAAGACAAAACACTTCTTATACATTTATAATTACAGTTAGTCTAAATTTATTAAGTTCCTTCACTAGTAATTAGTACAAGGTTTACTTAAAGAAGTTACTTATATCACTACTTTGCTTTCAATTGTTCGCGTGCGTGTTTACATCGAAGTTAGAACTCAGTTATGCTGAACAGATATTTTATGTACCAGACTATAAGTCATTTTCAATGCGCGACAGCTAATGATACTGAAGTCAGTGAAGTTTTGGGGATTTCGAACCAGGAATCCAGTGGTTGAAAGTCGAGTGTTGAAGCCAATGAGCTGCATCTCCAAATTATAATTTTATGCTCAGTGTTTATAGCTTGTTCACATTTTTTTACCACCTGTAAGTATCACTTCGTATTTTGTCACAGTGATGACCAAGTGAACTGATAGATCATTTCATTCTAGTTCAATTGTGGTGAGAGCTGTCTACTAGCCACATTGGTAGACAGTAATTTACGTCAATGTTTACGTTCTCAAGATTAGTCGTGAGAAAATATGAACAAAGGCTGATTCAAAAGCGACCACAGCAGACTTTGCGTAGGCGGATGCAGTTAACATATAGCTGATCTGACATTCAAGAAACAGTCACAAAGAGATGAAATATTAACTTTAAGTGAGAAACAACCAATCAGAAGACTGTGTTTGTTTGCTTAACTAATCCATAATAATGTACATGAAAATATATAAATGTGCTTTGATTTCCTTAATAAACGATCTGTAGCCTGGCCCTTGTCTTCTGTTGTTACACAATGACTAATTGTGTTAATTAAGTATTCTTATACCAAATCCTTGAAAAACTTTTGAGAGTCATTTTTAGTTGCATATGATACGTTTAATGAAACTATTGTTTTTTTTCGTTTTTTATAATATAATTTCAGATTTGTTCAAATGGTACGTGCTCATACTCCAAAAGTGACACTGTATACTGATAAAGCTAAATGCATGCTTATGGAAAATGGTCCACCAGGAGATTTTGTTACTGAATTTCATAACGATGGTTCACGCGTGTTATGCTCTTCTGATGGATCATTACGTATTACTCAAATGGTGCAGGAAAGTGAACGTGTGAAAACAAAAGATACTACGCCTACAGTAATTACACTGGATTCAAATCGAAGTCTTTCAACTCTTTCCCCAGAAACACGAAAACTTATAGATTATGTATATGCAGTAAGTTATATTACATTCCGCTTAGAATGTAAAAATTAAATCTCAACAATGCAATTTATGTAAATTTTCTTAACAGATCATACAACAAAGTTGTTTTAAGGGAATAAACGCAGAACGATAAAGTGGAGCCATGGTTGCGCGGTATCACGAATTTCATCACTTTGAACGATATCAGATATCAAGGATTCTGATACTATCAACTTGATGATAATGCGTTCAGTATCAGATCTGAAAGTGTGGAATTTGAGTTCTCAAACTAAGAAAAACAGCTTTCTTGTGGAATCTAATTTCATTTATAAGTGCTCCAGTTAGTTTAAATTTGTAGTGAAAACGTTAAATGAATTTTACTTCTGATATCTTCAAGATTTCACATATCTTCATATCCACTGTATCAACGGATTTACATATATTCGACGCGTATTCATATCACTGTTTGAGTTATATTTTGAATAATTTATAATGGGACTGTTCTTATGATTAAAATTTTTACTTTTCTTTACTTTTTATCTTTCATTTAGTGCCGAGATCATTGTCAAAAAATCGAACAGTTGCTAACCAGAATCACTTCAGAAGACAATCATATATCATGTTCATCGTATTCTCCATTTCCAGTTATCTTAGGTCGACGTTCTAAATCAGGTGTCAATCAAATCTCCTTGACTAAAAGTGATTCTAAATTGCTGTCATTGCCAAATGAATCAGCGAATCAAATTTCATTATCTATTGAACTCTATAATTTAATATCTAACTGTTTAGAAAGTAAACATAAAAATCCCTTATTATCAGATGATCAAGCAGCACAGAGTGATCCTCCTCTTACAAATCCGATTTTTGTTCCAAATGTTGGTTGGGCAAATCAGTTTAGCGATGATAAACTTCAAGTACAGTTTAACGATGGAGCTAAACTTCTACTGGTCTATGATCGAACTCTAGTTCATTCTATCCATTTCACTTCACCTCCTGGTTCTGATCAAGAATTGCAAACAGAAAAAGTGTACAGTACTTCTGATCCTCTTCCTGAACATGTCTATCGTAGGTTAGAAGTAATGCCAACTGTTATCAAACGACTTCGTTCAATCAATAGTAAAACAGCTTAAAGTTAAAGTTGTACAGATTAAATAATGCTTATCTTGTGATGATTTAGCACTCAAATACGGCTGTGAAATTTCCGTTTTACCTTCCCCCGGTGTATTTACACATCTGTCTTCCTAGCTATATTTCTGCTTTCTGTTCACTATTCTTCTTCTTCTTCTTTTATTATTATTATTAAGAGCTAATACTTATAGCTTGTAGAATTTTCGTTTGCGTAAGCCAGTATCATCCATCCTTCTTTACTTTAGCAGTCATTCTTGTGTACACTTTTCAGTTTTCCTACGCTGTCATTCCAGTGTTTGTTAGAAAGCGCCTATTTTATAAAGTCACACACTTTATATAATCCTATCGACATGAATGTATATAATAATTCAGCTAATAATCACTCTCGGTGCATAGTAGGAGTACACTCGCTTGAAGTGTAGTTGTGTATGTATGTGTGCCTCACCTGACTAGTATGTCTTTAAGTATGTATGTACCTGTGTATGTATCTGGTCATTGTTTTAATGATCTTTATGGTTCGGTAAACTTATTACTGACTGACTGACTGACTGTCTAATGCGTTATTGTACAAAGTGAATTATTACATGTTCTCAATTATGTATATCTGAGAATTTCCACCATATGAGCTTTCTAAAGAAAAATATATTTCAATTATGACAAAGTAGGAAATTTTGTGATTGCTTACGCATATTTCCGATTACGTTTTCTGTAAATAATTTTGGTTTTTGATTATCATTTTTAATAAATGACAGATTTTACTGAATGTGTGTGCATTTTCTTGTTGGTTAGGCGAAGGATATTTTCGTCATTTTATAATATTTTGAATAACGGTTATGGGATAGCGAATATCTCGACGACAAAAGCTTAACATGTTTCAACTGGTGATTATTACTCAGGAATTCTAGTCTCATAGTCTCCAGAGTTTCTCATTCTTTTGCAAAGAGCGGCTACATACTAAACATTTTTCGTTTTGGCTAAGAAACGGTTTTAAGAATGACAGCATTTTCTACTAGATTTCGGTTTATTATTCCACACAAGTATGAATATTTTGTAACCACACAGGAAAAGCAAGTCAAGGAAAGTGATGAACTATTAAACAAAACAAACCACTAACAGCATAAACAGAAATGGCATCGGTGTTTTTTAAAAAAAAGGAAGCAATTAATTCATTTGCATAGTTGTGATACGCATTGTGTAGCATCGCATAATACATATTGATTCTTAGACTCTTAAATATCCTATAATTGCTGACAGTGGCCTGCATAATTTGATTCTGAGGTGAAAATTCTTAGTGACAAGTGTGTGTAACGTGTTAACCTAGGTCCATTTGTCACGCATCTGACTTTAGTGAACAGAAATATATATAATTTAATAATTCCCATTGTAGCATTAAGAACACACTATTCAGCGAAGAGACTCTTTTCAGCGAATTTATTATCAAGCTGTACATATATATATCGTATCAAACAGCGTTCATATTGAATTGGTAGATGGCGACTAGCAGTAGAATGCAGGATGCTGATTTCATCGTACTTTGGACTCGCCATCTGGATACACCTGTATTCCCCAGTGGTTGATGGTGTTCCCATTGAGGCTCGAACCCAATACCCATAGTTTCAGACGCCAAGGCGTTATCCACTATGCCACGAGGGCCGCCTCTTATGGTGTTGGTGGTGGTAACTAGCCCAAATGGTCTGGTGGATAACGCCTTGGCATCTAAAACTATGGGCACTAAGTTTGAGCCTTACTGGGAATACCATCACTCTCTGGGGAATGGAGGTGCATCCAGAAGACGAGACCCAAAATAGGACGAAATGCGCATCAATTTAAATCGTCAGACATCTTCGAAGCATCCGCAAAAGGGGTCGACATGTCAACCTGAGGCCGAACACTTTGGTCCAATCAATCAACAGGAAAGTCCAGATTGAATTTAACAAAAGCATTGATATTGTTATAAACCAAACCACCGAAATGGATTGAAAGGATGTGTTTGTCTGTTGGAATATCACATTAAATAGGAGAATAAGAATTCAAGTATTTCGAAAAGATCCTAGCAGTATCAGTCGCACTAATATCGAATACAACTGAGTAAACTATAAAAAGCTTTTTAAAATAATAAATTCATAGAATAACCTTTAAGAAATGGGTGTGCATAAGGTTTTGTCGGAGAAAATTATTTTTATCTGAGAATCTACAATTTCTATGGAAGTTATAACTGCAGAAAGCATCCTGATGACCATAATTCGAAACTTACTCTTTACATAATTTTCTATTCAAAAATAACTCCTGGGCAAATTGAAGGAGCAGATGATTGTAGCTGACAAACTCGACGTAAATTTTTTTATCGAAATAATATTTATTGGAGAGTTAGATCGATTTGTGCTTTATGATCTCAACTGCTTCTTTGTTTCCCTCTCAGGATCTTTTTCCACCTCGGTTTAATCAGTAATTCACCATCACTTTATATTTAATATTGTTGCATGAATAGGAAACATGACTTTGTAACGCATAACCCTTATTTTATGTTTCATATTTCTCTAACTGTTATTCAACACACACGTATAAATCACCTTGTTTCTCGCGAGTAATCATGAAAAGGGGCGGGCAGCGGAAAGAAGAAGTTAGCCAGGCCCTTAATAAACTCGATAATTGCCCCACATTTTATCACAAAGTCTAAGTGTGATAATAATCATTGTCGCTGCTTTTTCAATTCAGGTATAATGATAAATTCATTCGTCTTGTTTTCTACCTGCAATATATGTATATTTAAGTCGAATTCTGATAAAGTCGTGTTTCCCTCTTCAGCATATTTCAGTATAACAGCACGCTCTAATTTAATTTTTTCTTCCATTCTGTGATAACACCCACATCACATTAAGTCTCGAAGTTATTAAAAAAAGGATGACTGGTAAATTCCTGGGGTGGTATATACCTTGCTGCTTATGAGGTTAACTAATTCATTTGAATTCATTAAAACAAATAAATATAACCATCATATTGTGAAATGTATGCATAATTAATTTTTATTTCGCCAAAAAAGAGCCATTATCTGACACAGCTTGAAGTATGTGTTAGCATTTTTGTATTTTGTCGAGCAAGCTGAGCAAGTTTTGTTCTTGTTAATATGTGATATGGTTCTGCATACTGTAATGATTCTGCTTTTTTAACCATATAAGATACACTCATCACTCTAGTGTTGGTTTGCGGGGATTTCATTGGTTATAGGACTTCATCATGAGCTGAATTCGGTTAGAGAATTATTGGAAAACTTGGGAGTACTGGACAGCTGTTTCGTCTTGGTTCAGGAGTCTTCGTCAGTACGCACCCCGGAGTTCGAACCCAGCACCTTCCAGTTACAAGGCGAGCTCGTAGATTCTATCTTAAAGTAATATGGAAATGTTGACAACTCAGCTAAAGTGTGTGTACAAAATGGTTTGATCCCCTAGTTTCCCTATTGAACAGAATTCGGTTTCAGCGGTGGTAGGATTTGAATTAATTATTGTTTAAATTTTTTTTCAGAATTTTTATAGTCGGATGGATAGATCAGCTGGCGAGTTATGAACTGATATGCTTTGAGGAATTCTGTTTAAGCTGATAGCATTCAAACATGTAACATTCCTCGAATAATTGACAGTAAGAGGTGATTTCCGTAAGATATGCATTCACTTTTATACACAGCTGTTTACTCCAGTATTTTACAAGCAAACTAAAAATTGAAAGCTGGTAAAATTGGCATTAATTTAAGTCCCCTCATGCCGCTGCAAGTAGTGCTGATGGTTAAAGTAGAGGAAAGATAACAGGGAACGGCAATAAATTATACTAAGTTACTTGGAATTATTAGAGGTTTGATCAAATTCGTCAAAATAGATGACAAGTGGATAATTTAGGAGGGACATCTCACTTGAATAATGCATTTAACTGTTGCCTTCCATAATTTTTAGTGCGTAAAAATGATCTGAGAGTATTTACTAGTAACTTGATGTCACTAAAATACTTTAGGAAAACTTGTAGTCAGTAATGATATAATATATGATCAACGCTATGAATTCCATTGATTCAGGCGTCAACCTAGAACTTTATACAAAATTGCATCAATTTCATTTATCAAAATTAAACAAAATAAACTGAGGAGAAGAGAAAAAAAAGCTGCTAAGATTGACAAGTATATTGGCGATGGAGTATATAACTAAATGTAGAAAAAAAACCCATTTAGACATTTAGAAAATAGAGCTAGGTTAATCTGTTCAGACGACCGCCTCAATGAGGAGCTAAGATTATTAGAGAATTACTTAGAGAAAATGGTTATCCAGACTAGTTCATTGAGGAAAATATGAATTCAGCAACTAGGGGAGTCAGTAAGGCAACAGTTCCGAAAAAACCACTGTTCATAAAACTGCAGTTCCTCGGGGACAACATCAGCGAAATGATAACACAGCGCCTGAAGAATGCAGTTAAAAGAGCTTATTATGCAGCAGAGGTACGTTGTCTCTTCACAACCACCCCTATTCTACGTTCGAGAAATAAGGATAAACTACCTAAATTTGCTTCCTCTTTGTATATCTACCAGTTTGACTGCAGCTGCGGAGCCAGCTACATCGGGCGTACAATTAGGCAGGTTCATCATCGTATTTCCGTACATCATCCAGCATGGGACAAACAAGATCTATTCATAGCTCTATTTTAGCACACCTTGTAGATAGTGACCACAAAGTTGGTGTTAATACAGCATTTAAAATTATTTATCATACTCCTACTAATCTTAATTTTGCTTTACAAGTTCGTCTTCTACATACAGTTGAAGCAATCGGAATCCACCTGAAGTAGCCAAACCTGTGTGTTCAGAAGAAATTTGTACAGCCACTTTCCTTACCTTGGCCATCGTTACATGAATGTCTGAACCGGCCTACTTTGCCCCCTCCCCCTAAACCTTTGGAAATTATTAAAATTATAATTGTCCAAATTATTTTATTATTTTTCTGACCACTTCATCGTTAGTTACAAGTTATCATCGTCCAAATCTTTTTATTTTCTTTAACAGTCTGTTACGTAATCAACCTGTGCACACGCTTATTCCTTATTTACTCTTTATTTTTCCGAAATTATGCATTATGCCTTTTAATTCTGTGTATTAAATAACTCAATGAAGATTTCCAGTACCGGAAGATATCAAAGAGTGAATTCATCCGCATTATTGTGAACGATTTCAAGTTATCTCGTCACATTTCCCCAAACACTGATGTTTTCAGCTTTCGTAGAATGCCATTTAAACGGTGTAAACCTCAAAGTAGCAGTCAGTGAGCTAACTCATAAATGCTACATTTTTGCCTGGCTATCTCTTAATCTTTGTCAACCTAATCCCTCTTTAATTAACTATCCTTGTTGATTAAAGGTGGAAGTTCTGAATGTGTAGCACATTCCGTAAATATCACAATCGGTGGGGCTTCTTAATCTTGTTGATCTGTTTGTCTTCCATACCTATTACTACATTTATCTTCACTACTACTTACCATATTGCTTTGCCTAACACTAATTGTTAAACGATGGCAGCTACAATAAAAAAATACTCATCCTCTATAATTCTTGCCTTCAGAGGCGATTTCTCACAGTCCATTTGGAGTGGCACATCACAGTTACATCACTTCATTTCGTTAAACTAGGAATGGGCGCAGACAAATCCCGTAGTATAACCTTACATTCTAAAAGCAGACTTCGGTTTTCGATT